TCATCATGCTCCTCTAAACGGTAAGTGTCTTTGATTTTTTTACCAATCTATATATATGTATATATATACATATATATATATATATATATATATATATATCTTTAACATCCTTAAATTATTTATTTTGAAAAAAAAAATTAAATAGTGCAATTATGAAGAATAAATGCAGCGTATATTATAGCAGCAGAGAGAAACCTGAGAGAGGCCATGCCTACTTTTTTCTTGTTATATCGTCGAAATCGTCCGTTAGTATCGTCGTTAGTACAGACACGAGCTACATCTACTTTCGACGATACGATTTTATCGACAGTGACAGAAAATGTATGTAGTTACGTAGTTCCTAAGCTGAAAATGGATGTATTGCCGGTATAGGAAAAAGCCGACATCCGACATGACCTCTCAGAGATTTCTCTCTGATATACATATAAATACTGCCACACGTGTGTTATAGGTGTGATGTTACTTTATCACGAATGATTTAAGTGTTTATACAAATATATGATTTTTTGAAAATCATTCTTTGAAGCTGCGAATAATATAATATAATGGCGCAAATAGGGAACGTAGTAAGTAAATTATTGTCTACATGCAGAAATTTAACCTAGATTATAATCTTATAACCTAAATGATTGTGTCTTATTTATGATATAATGCAAGTAATTTTAAAAATTATTGAATAACTGGCAATTATTTAAATTGTCCGCCTTGATTAGGATTTATTTTTTCATCTAATAAATAATTAATAATATTTATAATATATTAGATGACTCCTCTTATTTCATTTCTATTTTACTGTGTATGTGATATTTCCAAATTAATTCATGAAAAGCACTTATTTGTTTTTTATGCAATAATATATTGTATATATTTAAGACGGCAGATCAATTAATGGCTGGTACCAGTGTATTGTCAAGACCTGCTGAAGAATTCGAAAATGACGTGAGTAAAATCGCACGTAAATTAATGAGCGAGTAATATTTATTATTGTATACTGCAAAAAAATTTTTAATCAATTTTACTTAAAGGAATGTTTTCCTTTTTTTCTATTTTAGCCATCTCTGGAAGCGATGTGGGCAATCAAAGCCATGGAACATGCAGAGGTTTATTTTAATGTAAGTTATACAATATTATACAAACATATATATGTAAGAATTATGATATAAATAATAAATAGTATAAATGATAGAGATATTATGCTCCAGATTTTATGCTCAGTTGACCCGAAGCTTTTGAAACTCACACCTCACGATGAACAAATCTATAAGACTTTCAAAGATACGTTTCCTAATATGAAAGTGAATAAAGTGAATGAAGACGAGTTGAAATCTCCAGAGGGAAAGATAAAGTGGAGGTTCTTTTGTGAACAATTTAAGGATGTTGTGGAGGACTATAGTTTTGGTACATTATTGAGAGCAGATTGCACTGGAGATTATTCGGAGCAGAATAGTATACTAACAACTAGGATACAATTTTATGCTATAGAGCTTGCAAGGAATAGAGAAGGTTTTAATGATGGTGTACGAGAAAAGTACAAATCGAATAGAACTATAAAAAAATAGATTTGATATTATAATTAGTTACATTAACACTACTGAAAGTAAATTCAGATGTATTATTTTTCTATTATTTTTTTAAATGTAAGAGAATTTTAAGTAAGAGTAATGTAAGAGACAATTTTATAAACTATATACATATAAAATAAAAGTTATATATAATAACGGATATTAAATTGATATTTAAATATATTTACCATCCTAATGAGATAACGAACTTTTTCTTTTTTAATTTTATACAACATTGAAATAAAAAAAGACATAATTTATTAAATGAATGAATATTATATCTAAGATTGTGTGTGTAAAAAAGGAGGGTAATAAAATTGATTTAAGGAAGGAGAATGTAGGTAAGAAGAATGAATACAAAATAAAGATGCATAAGAATTATCAGATTATAAAGAATTTGATTATCAATGAAGCTTGCAATGTCTCTGTGAAGACTAATAAAAAATTAACGAAAGTATATAAAATTGCAAGATGTCTGTTAATCTTGAGGGTTGAGTGAAAGAATGTACGAGAGCGATCATTTCTAGAATATATTGCTATATACACACTTTAATAACCAAAAACAAACATTACAGCAATAATATTGTTATTAATGTAATATTATATGCAATAATAGAATCGTTTATCAATCGTAGTGAAAACACCGAAAACCTTGCTTCTTCTTTTACTGGAAAGAACAATGCGTACGGTTTGTCTTCTTTTTATTATTAATAATATTAATTCGCATAATGGCGCCCGATCGACCGCACCCGCATGTTGTCGTGGATGTTATAAAAAAATTAGTAGACGTTACCTTGTTTGCCACATAGTAATCTAGGCGCGAATACGCTATTTCTCGAGAGCGCGGTCGACCCGCGAGCCGATCGATCGTTATCGTAGAATAATAAATATGACAGTGCGATATCTAAAAAATCTGTCTTTTTATGCAACTTGCACATTCAAATACAAGTGTACTCGAAAAATTTACATTGTTTTATTGCCCTTACAAACATTAAGGAGAATAGCAAGTAGCTGTCAAATCGTTACATGGAGAGCATATTTTAGAAACAGGACGATACACTCTTTTCGAGCTTTGCATTTTAGTGACAAAAGTACAAAGGAAGAAATAACTTTCGAAACCCGTTTCGTCTGATATGTGATAATCGTCGATTGAAAATTGTTCATTTAAAATTATGAGTCATTTAACGATTTGACAATTACGGATTCTCCTCGAATCGAGCGGTACTGTGGCTTCTTTCCCAATTTCGCTTTTATTCATTCTCTCTCTCTCTCTCTCTCCCTCTCTCTTTCTTTCTCAAATTCTTGCTTTTTTCTCACGTTCACTCTATATTTCTGACCGCTAAAAAATATTTGATATAAGATCGTACAAGAATCACAAAATAGAGCTTTGAATAAAATCTGCTTTAGATGAGCGTCTTTCGTCTGAGCGTAATAATAAGTAAATTAATTAAACAAGTAATCTAGTATTTATATATGTCGAAGATGTGGAATATTTTTACATACTGTAAAAGAGATTTATTATCTCTCTTCTCCTCCCCTCCTCCCAGAAAAGTTAATTCAAAAGTATTTAAAAGATATCACATTTATATTTCTCTCTCTCTCTCTCTCTCTCTCTCTCTGCATTTCGGTTTATTGTATTTCTATTGAATGACGCGACCAGAAAATAGAATTTTGCCGAATCTCACGTTTATTTTTTAGCAATTTGCATCGCTCATGCATAATGCATAAATTACAAGATTCGTATATAGACATCGACCCTCAAATAATGCGGCAGAATCTTAATGATTATTTTCCGCTTGACTCTGCTATTAATTTCTCTCGTATTGTTCGAGGGCGATTCCAGGGTGCTTGAAAAGGAAGCGTAAAATAAGACTAAAATATACAATAACAGTGAGTTTAAACTCATGAACTCTATTGAAGTTTAAAAATCTTGTATATATAATATTTTGTTATTAATTTAGATTTAAACACTAATTGTTGCCAAACTTTATCCTAACACTTTGCACAGATTTTTAACTTCTACATACAATAAATAAAATTAATAATTGGTACAAAACGTATTTAATGTCAGTTGTGATATGCAAATATAGATATAATCAACATTTTTTGATAGTTACAGGAAGATTAAAAAATTACAGATCTTTTTTTTACGTGCATGTGCTACTTTTATGTATAAATAAATTCAATTTTTGATGGTCCCTCAAAGTCTTATCTGTTTTATTTAAATTACTATTTTTACAAAATTCTGATTATGTTTTTTGTGCATCTTTACGCTCTTTTTTCAAACACCTTAGAGTAGAATGTGAATTACAATATATCTCTCGTTCTCAGCAAATAATTCATACATAATAAAAAATGACATAAGAGGACAATGTCATCGTTCACTGAAATAACAAGGGGAGAATGGCAAAATTATTTGATCCTGTACAAAAGTCACGATCGTGTATAAGAAATTTGTTTGAATATTGATGAAAAATACGTTTGAGTACCCAGAACACGTACCGTGACGACGGAGAACGATCGTCGAATAAAAACAAAGGAAATTGATTATTGTAACTATAATCCTTAACAATGACGATGATAGCGTACTCTTCCTGACGTTTTTTTTCCAATTGGCGTATTATACATTTCATGAAATTTCAGGCGCGCGCGCTACGTTCTTTAAATCTACGCTCCTCTACGAAGAGTCTCACTGAGAGAAAATCGATTACACTATCGATTGCACTTTCGATTGCGCATATAGATCAAACTGCGATATTAAAAAAGAAAGGTGCATGCATATTGCATTAAGGCAAATTGCTATTTCCTACGAATTAACCGGTTATTGATTCGCGTCTACATTTTGCATTGACGACATATTTCTGACAGGTGAATTTATTAAAATGGATTATACTTTCATTTTGCAGCAATAATCTTTATTTCTTTTTCTTTTCTTTTTTTTTTTTTTTTTTTACAAAAACACTACTTGGCACAGCTAATATTTTATATATATTAAATATTTTGCATATACGAGAACAATCGACATTAATAACGAGCACGATTGTCACTCTTCTACAGCAGAATGCTCTCACATCCGAACTAATTGCAGGAAATTATCGTTATCTTAATTAATTAAGGCAACTTCAGCGTAATTAAAACTTCTTTTCTCTCAGTGCGTGTAACCGAGCGCCGAAAGTGACAACGATGCAACAGTGTGTGGAAGTAATAATAAGCCGTCAAGTGTAGGTAAGCTCTACTTTACAACAATTGTGTGTGATCGATAAGAAACTGAGAAACCTAGAAACACAAAGCGAAACACTCACGCAGTCAACGATCTCTTTTTTTTCGAAAGAACTCGTCGTCTCTCTCTCTCTCTCTCTCTCTCTCTCTTTTTCTTTTATTCGCGTTTACTTCTCGTTCCGCGCGCGTGATCGATAATCAATCCAACAACAACAACAGGGCATGTCGTATTTATGCGACCTATGGAGAGGTGTGATACAATAGCAGTATTAATAATAATAAGAATCATTATAGTTATAGATCGTAGTAGTAAGTATTAGTGTTAGTAGTGTGTGATAACTGACAATACAAATATATCTTCTAAACCTAGGATGCACCGGGAGGAAGTTGGGGAGATTCGGAGTGAGGTGGAAGGGAGGACGAGATGATGAGGAGGTAGTCCCGGGTGGAGAAACACGAGGATAAGGGTCGAGGGATCCGAAAGCTAGTTTCCCAGAATCCTCGGGCTATACTCTAGAGGCGTAGTGCCCAACGATCAACGATGTCTTTTTCTCCTTTTTTCTAACACTGTGCAAGTTTGTCCGACCTTTGATCTGCGGGAGGATCGGGATGAGAACTCTGGAGTTTTTTTTTTCTTTTCTTTTTTCTTTTTTTTTTTTAATCAGAAAGGTTCCTGGCATTAACTAAATGATTTGATATGTAGGTAGACGGTTGGGCGAGGGTCACCTATGTGTTCTTCCCGAATCTATTTGCGTTAACCCAAGATTTTTCTGCGCACGAGCAACGTTAAACGCGGCTGTCAGAGAGTCCAGAATCCCTGTTTTTACGTTTTAATGAGCTAGAAAGTACCTATACGAAAACGCCAGTGGTCGATGCCATTCAGGACATGCGTTGCAATAATGATGTATTTATTCTTAATTAAGTAATCCTTATCACGTGGTCCTTTCTATATCGTAGTCTTATTTGTAAAATAGGCAGGGGGAGAAAATAATATATATCGTTTATCCTTAATCAACATTGTTACAACTAGTCCACAGGCAGCTATGCGTAGATCATCTTTCTCACCGTGATCGATTCCTACACAGCATCTCTACCGAGAGACGTTCAAAGGAAAACATCCCTTGGATAAAGTGCGCTATGTAGGAATTTTTATCTTTTTTTTTTCTTGTTCTTTCTTTTTTTTTTTTTATCAAATACGGAGAGACAGCCACATTTATCGTTAAACGTGTCACGGGTCTCGCGGGCTCCCACACTACTAATGATAGCGTTTTTTCTGCAACATATGTCGATACTTTACTGACGTCGGTATTTTGCAACGATTTGAACGATGTGACGCTTCGCAAACAACGAGTCGAAGATATGTAACGCCGACTACAAGAGATATAGCTTCCTCACCCCGCACGCGCACACACACCCTCTCATTCTCCGTTCCCTTTCTCTTTCTCCCTTCCTCTCTCGCTCGCTCGCTCCCATGCGATCCTTAAACACGCCAGCCGAGACAAATCACCTGTCAACGCTCGCAAGCCCTGTATACGTAATGACACGACGAATGCAGCTATATAAAGTATGAGTATCTCTTATATATTTATATATATATATATATACTTACAGTGTAATTGTATGTTGTGTACAAGTATGTATATATACGCATACGTATACGTATGTTACGTATCGCCGGCCTACAGCAGGTGTTTTATTTCGTCTCTCATTCTCATGGTAATACGATCATCACGAAAATGTTCCTCCTCTTTTACTCTCCATTCATACCGCTCTCTCATTCTCTCTCTCTCTCTCTCTCTCATCTTTCTCTCTCACGTCATGCTCAAAATGTGTTCTCCGTGTGAACGTGTTGGTTGTTAAGTGTGTCTTCGTTATGTGTGTTTTGCTTTTTACATAAAATATTGCGTACCAGACGATTTTACAAAACTTTACCCTGGAATAATGTACTTTACGCTGTGCGAGGCGACCGATCGCGAGGAAAATATCGCGAAAATACATTTTCGTAGGAGCCACCCTCTCTGCTTTGAGACGCGGCTCCGAAAATCTCTTCGCGATCGGCACTTTCAATGTGTCCCTCCTCTGCGCGATTCACCTCGTAATATCATTTATTTTTATTCTACGATCTCGCGAATGCAGCGCGCTGCCCCTCGCCCAACCCTTTCAACAGTCCACGTGTTCACGTTAATAATTTCTATTGGTCGGCCGTGTATTGTCACACAGTTAGATCTGGAAAGTAACGATTACAAATGCGTTAAGAGCAGATATGTAAAATTTCGCATTTTACAAAAATTAATAAATCGAATTTACGAAAGACACGTCCGGGACACTCGGTTATCGTCCGATTAAGGATGTTGAAAGGATCAGGAAGGTCCGCAGAACTCGAATATGAGATCACAGCTCGCGCTCTCTGTGCGCAACACACACGTCCTCGGGGCGACATGTGTTACAAAGGGCGACGATCTCTACGCATTGAAAGACGCAGTCGCAAATCGTACAGGCGACATTTTACACACCTCACATTATCTTCTTTTTTTTTTTCTCGTAAAAAATTTTATTCTCTCTCTCCCCCTCTCTCTCTCTCTCTCTCCTTTTTCTGTTACATCGCACTATTACACCTCGTTTTGTTTATCCCTTTCTTTCGTAGTTTTTCTTTCGCGTTAAAAATTTAAAATACTCGTATTATACGTAAGTATTTATGACCCTGTTTTCGTAAAGGCTTTCTAACGTAAATCGATATTCCTGGCCGAGGAAGGTAAAGGAAATAGGATTATAAGATAGAGGAAGGGACAAAGAGGAGTCGAGAAGACGCGACTGCGTTGGGATGAGAATAGAGGGTACGTTTGAACACGAATTACCTCTATCGTTATGTATTATTCCTTTTTTTTTTCTTTTTTTCTTTTCTTTGACGGCTTCTCGACGGCGAAACAGAAAGCTAACGGAAGAGAACAACGTAGAAATATGTGGAGACTTCGATGATAGATCAAGTCGCAACAATCCGCAATAGCGTGTCGCCATATTTTTCTAATAGAGAAAAATCTTTGTATAAGCGATTTTTCTTCATGCGACCGTAACATAGAAACCGCTATCATGAAAATTGGCGTGCACATTCTCGCTTCCCGCTTTAATATTTCAGCATACCATTTTAGCATTCTCGAAGATATAGCTTTGACGTTTTTTTCTACTGTCAAAATCGTGATACACGCATATTCTACGAAAATACAATATCTTATGACGAACACTTTTTCTCATCAAAGAAGGGGATATCTAATTTATTGTTCTCATCGATAATTGATATGACTTACGTTTTTTTTTCTTAAAAAGGAACACACTCACGATAAGTTATAAGATCATTTTGTCTTTAAGATCAGACTTTTTTTTTGTCTTGGTAACAATCTATTGCAGATTGAACAACAGATTGTTGCAAGTTTAATCGATCGATTGTAAAGAGAAAAAAAGAGGAAGAAGAAGAAAAACACACGGTAGGAGGTAATTACGCTAACGAGAGGAGAGCGAAATGACTCTGTTGAATCTCTGTGAGACAACGCGAGTCTTTCTTTTCAATGTATCGCAAGTGCAGAAACTCAGAGCTTCACATGCAAAATTGTAATATCGTATTTTTCTATAATTTCAGCATCCTGCCGTATCGGGCAAGGCGCAACTTTTAATTTACATACATTTGAGTTGTCAAGAAAATGTAATTCACTTGTTATTCCCGTCCTGACGTTTCGATTCGACGAGATTGCTATTTTTTTTTGTGGTTTTTTTTTACGGTTTTGCGGCGATCCAGTATTCTTAAGATGTAACTAGAGTTGAAAAATCAAAAACCATTCTAAAATTTCAAACAATCTATATTTAATAGTAATTATATATTTCTATTAATAATATCTGTATTATATTTTTTTTTTACAAGATTTACAAATTGAGAATAAATTGGAAGAATAGAAGAATAGCGAGAAGAATTATCTTATCTAACGATATTTATACTTCACGTTAGGAATTCAGTCATTGCAATTTTCTAAGATATTGGTAATAAAAAACAGATCAAGTTATAAAAATATCACTAATATTTCATGATTGTCTAAGACGTACTCAATTATTTCATCGCGATCGTCTTCTACATTAAAATCCCTATAACTTAAAGTAACAAAATATGCCCGCAGCTAACACTTCTCGTAATTCCTGCAAATCTAAGATTTAATAAGAGAACGTATAAAACAACGTTAGAAAAAGAAACTCGAGCAAACGAGCGTATCTCGTCGACGTTCATGGAGTCGTCAGGTGGGGATTCGCTACTCGAAACAGTAGTGATTAATAACAGCGATTTGGCACACGTGTTATACTGTTCGCAATTTATGTTAGCTTGGCACAAAATTGAGCCGCTCGGCGATGAGTTTTCACAATCGATTTTTGGCACCTAAATCACATCAAGTGCTGATCTTTTTTGGCTCCTTTTTGGTCGACAGCCTTCTTCCTTATTATGTCGACTATCTATACGTGCGCTCGATTTTTAATTCGTCTTAACTTATTCAGGGAAAAATCGCGATATCAGGACCGATTAGACGACAGACTTATATATTTAAGAAGCATCGATTAGCTTCGCATACAAAGATTTCCCGATTATTGTATTGTAGAACACTGATTATCATGAGTGGCAATCGCATATCCTGATTTTACTTTCAAGCAGCAAATAGCAATTGACTATTTAAAAGTCCCAAAAAATTAGGAATCACTTATCTTTTAGGTGTTCCTACTCTTAGAATAAAATGTCATCACATCAGTATAGCACGGTGCTGCAATCACAGCGTTCCGCTTCTTCCGTATTTTCGTCATGTATCTTATGCCAATTGCTATATTAGTCGTTTGTCCTCGAGATTCCTTTCTCCGCGATGTAGCGCATAGATGATACATTACAATTTCAAAAAGCTGCAGCATATTTTAACATTACAATAAATCGTCAGAATAATCCTGTCTGTCGTCTGATTCGCCCTCTAATCGCGCGACAACGGCGGCGTGAAGAGGTCGCGAACAATCGCCCGATCGCACTAATTTTTCCTTTCGCGAGGAAGAAAGGCTTTGCCCTTTAAAATTCCACGCCCCCCGACGAAGAAAGGGCGCGATTCAATATTCTATAAAAATTAAGTTTATTTCTTAGCTGATTGCCTTGCGTTACGGTAATGTTAGGTTCCTGGCGAGAATTGCCGCGGATGTTCGTTTCCTGAAGCACCGCAAAATGGCTCCCCGAACATCGGAGAAGCCTGTGCGCGCGTTGCATTTCAGCACCTTCCGAGAGCTTACCGACGGCACCAGTAACGTCATATTTCCGATAGACACGAGCCGTTTTGTTCCGAAAACCGACGTACAAGACGCGTGCCATGAAAATCTTGCAAAAGTAGATACCACTTCCACTTCCGATTTGTACTTGTACCTAATACTCGAACTCGGTATCTCTTACAAAACATCTTAGCAAAACACACGGTCCGTACAATACACGGCACGCAATTGCAATCGCGACAATCCTCGGTAGGACCCACGCAATAAGGATAAGGCCCCTGCACTAACAGATTGCTCTACGCCACAACGATATGATCGCAATGAATGCTGACATTTGCTCTCCCTCTTACGCCCATTTCACTTTTCCGTTTTTCCTTAACGCTACCGCGTCCGAAGGGCGAGTTCGGGTTCCCCGTGCTCGCTTTCTCTCTCTCTCTCTCTCTCTCTCTGCGATTTTGCCGCCGATTTTTCATCTAATTTTTGTATGCACCTTAATGTAATGAGGGGGAAGGAGCGTACGTACCCGGGACTTTTCAACGATCGCGTTAGTCTTTCCGTTCTTCCTTCCTCTCGCAAATTTCCATACGAGCGAAAATAACCGCGTCCTCGTTGAAACATTGGTCAGCGTCAGTTGCTCCGAAGTTAGGTCTAACCGTTGTATAAACGCAAGCTTTCTTACATATAAATGACTTTTTAGCCAACAGCACAGATAGCTCTGACTAACTAACAGTTTAGATATTTCCCGTCTTGCCGAGAACACATCCCTATCTATAATACAGAAAGCATCATATCGTTAACTGCGGTTAGTGCTAACTATTGTTGGTGCAACAGATCTTGGAGGGGGGAGGGGGGGGGGAAATATGATCTAACGTGTCCTAATCCTCGTCGATCGTTCTTAGATTACTCCTGCGTTAGATTACGTGTTTCTTTCTCTCCGATATATATATTTTTTTTCTTTTTTTCGAACACGCGATAAACGATATCTTAACGATCACTAGAAGTTACAGAGAGTCGATTGAATCGAAGTGCCTATAATAGGTGCCCCGAAATATACAATTAATCGATTTCTGAATGACGACACACGCCGGATAAATACAGCTAGGCTAGGTTATCGGAGCAAAAGAGATATTAATTATTCGTACCCTAGTCATATGTGTCTTGGATATGCTTCTGGAATACGTCAGTGCGACAAAAGGACATCTTCAGATAGTAGGTAGACTGAAAGCGGTAACGAGAAAACCATCAGCTACAACAAATTGCCTTAACTGGCCGCTCGCATAGCAGATTAAGGAAGCTTCGTACTTTCTCCGAAAATTACTTCGCTTCCAAATTTCTTAGAAATTTGTTTCTTTCATAAAAACATGTAATAATTTTCGATAATGTTCAATAATTATTGTACACATCGAGTAAAATCTTTATAAAATAAGGCGAAGCGAATCCTAGCTAGTATTAAAATTTCAATTAGTGGCGAATAAACAACTGGAAATTTTATCCAAATCACAATTAGTGGCGGGCAAACAACTTGAAATTTTATCAAAATTAATCTTAGGCTCTTCTCGTCTGCGTTGTTCCTTCGCTCTCCCGAGCGATTTTCAGTTAAATATCTTCGAGTCGCGCCGTCCTCTAATTACTTACGATAATGCCAAGTGAATCAATTTGGAGAGTAAATGGGATTTTCAATTAAGACAATGCTCCCCGATTGATTTCAATCTTTTCTATTAAATAGAAAATTAGTTATTTCTGACTTCACATAATTCTCTGAAACAGTTTTCAGTTTTCATCGAATCTCCAAAGTTCTAAAAAATTTTCAGTTTTTATCTCAGTCAACCTTTAATCTCATTTACTCGTCATTATTGTTTCATAATTATTAGTACAATTAATAAATTACCACGCGTCCGTATTAAAAACTGCTTGTTAATTTTTATACCGTGTCGTATACGTTCCTTAAGAAGAATATCACTAATTATTGCTCTTGACACTTAGCCTGTACCATAGTAAACTATTAAAATCGTTTTTTTTTTTATATTATAGATAACTTACGATATTCGTAGAAATGTAAAACTCTTGAGAAACTATATTTAGATTATTTCAACACAAGTATCTACTTTGAAGTTTAGGAAATTATAACATTTAATAATAAACAATAATAAAACACAATATAAAATGTTCCGATTTTTCTTCTCTACTTTCATAAACACGCATTCTACGAACGTCATACGCAGGGGCTTTTAAAAACAAATAAACATAATTTTCCATTATTATTTACGTTTGTTAAGAGTCGTAGTTCATAGCAATATAAAAGAGTGCCGAAATTATCATTAAAGGGGAAAGTATACGTCACGTTGCTTCATACAAACGCATTTGAAACCTAACGAAAGGTAGTCTAAGCGTGTAGCTGGTGGTCATCATTTTACTATAATGTTCTTTTGTGCGCGGATAAGAAACGTGGTTCTTCCCCCTCGACGCACCTGGAAAGGTCATTAAGCATAAAGGCTTCCTCATCTCTTGTCTTCAACTGTTCATTTTAAAACGATACTTCTGTGCAGTTCTGCATTCCTGACCCTTCCAGTACCCAAGTGGTATATCAGGCTTTTTAACAGTGACGTTCCGTATGTGAATATTAAATACACAAGATCTTTAACCTATGTAGGATTGTGATACAAGTTTACAAATATAAAATATCCTCCCAAGTTCTAAAATTGGCTAAAATGTAATAAAAAAGATAGATCAAATTTTTTACATCTGATTTGGTACTGAAAGGATTTATCAAGAGACACAGAGTTCGAGTGGGAAGAGATCATAATTTATCTTTACGTAAACGCGCTTGTCTTCCGCTTTTTTTTTTCCGTTTAACGGTTAATTTTCTTTTTCTTTAATCTAATTTAATTTATCAGAGAATGATTTATAAGGATCTCCACACTTCCTAGCGTTTGGATAATACCTCTGCTGACGATTCGAGAGGGTTATACGCACGCGCGCACGTACATACTTCAGTCACCTATAAAGTGGGTCCTAAAAACCTCCCCTATCCTCTTGTCGCGTCTTTCTCTCTTTCTCTCCTCTCTTTGTCTCTCTTTCGCGCTCGTAAACAATCATATGTACACTCACATGCACTCTTTCTTCCTTTTCCCATCTCTTTCTCTATCATATATCAATAAGTACGCCTTCATTTTTTACTCTCTCTCTCTCTCTCTCCCTCTCTCTCTCTCCGCGAAGTGCCTTAAAAATTGATCCTTAACTACTTACTAATATAATCGATTCTAATCACAGCAATTATTTATTGTTGATATACACAATCATACAGCGTCTCTCACTAATTGTTATTTTCATCTTTTTTTATCGACTTAGCAGAGACAACTTGTCGCTCGATGCTGTTGCTCGTCTCATGTTTTACCATTTTTTTTCTCTTACATAATTACTACTGTACGCCATCATTGTCTATCTATCGGTGGAGAATGGGGGAGCAAGGGCGTTAGCGAGGGTGAAGAGGAGATGTGAGAGGAGTGCCTTGTTGCCGCGATGAGAAAAGAGAGAAATACTTTTACTTTTGTTTTTTTTTCTTCTTCTTCAAAGTGTATAATAACAAAAATGATTTTCCATAATGTATGTATATAAATAATTATAAATAACAAGATTAAATTTCTCAAACCTAATTTTTAAATCATGTCACCAACAGACTCTCGCGGTTGATCGTCGACCAATTACGATCTAAAGTTCATCCGGCGAATTAAAAAAAAAAAAAACGCATTGGATCTGTACGGAATCGGTTTTTCTCTCGTATACAGATTGCGTCGTAAAAGATGGTCAAATAAGTGCGTCTTTTGACGTTAACTTATTGAAAATCTAATTGGAGCTTTAACTCCAATTTTTTTCAGAGTCCTTCCAGCAGTTAAATTTTGATAAAACAAATTTCTAGTGCAAATAAATTGCAAGGTAAACCAGTTACCCAGTTAAATTTACATAAACTTTACATTAACAAAGATTTATATGTTAACATATAATTAAATGAATATCCATAAAAAATTATATAACGTATTCAATTAAAATTTTTCTTAAGAAAAGAAAAATTTCTTTATATTCTTTTTCTCTAAACGTTGTATTACGGGTTCCATATTTAACGACACAACTAAATTTGGACAAATTTTCTCGTGTTTCACACGAAGGAGCCATTCGCAACTTATTCATTCGGCAAACGAAATGATGAAGCGCGTGTTGCGATCAAAATGAGAAGATACGTTGATGTAATAAATAAGATGAAATCGCAGATGTCGATGCGAGATGCTGATATCACTTCATAAAAATTCATCATATAAACAAGGATATGCTCCGAGATTAATAAGTATGTACAACGTAAAAACATATTTACAATACGCATCGAAAAGAAGCGAGCACCGCAAAATATTTTCAATTAAAACAAACAAAAAAAGACAAAAAAGTATATCACAAAACTGACTCCAATATTGTTCAGTTATACACAAACATAAATTAGGGTCGGTACAACTATCAACATTATTTTCTTTTTTTTTTTCTTTTGGAAGGATTAATTTACATATATTAAAATTAAGAGCAGTTTTCTATGCGAGTACAAATCGATTAAGATATATAAAAGTAATACGTACGCGCGAAGACCACCGATTATTAATTGAGCTGACATCGGAAGCACAGACTAACATTGTCTAGCAAAATGTTTTTTTCTTTTTTCTTTTTTCCCAAATTTTAATTTACGTTTGGCACATAATGGAAGTTATCGGTACAGGATACATCGTAAGGTGTAAATCGTCCGCGCCACAGCCAATTACATTGGCATTAACTTGATCTTACAACAGAATTCAGAAATTAGTTACACAGCTATTATATATTACTTCAGCAATTCTTAAACCTCATAATTCCTTCAATTTAACTCGTCCTTTAATATAAATCGAGACGAAACTAAACGCAATATAAATATCCAACAAGTCTCAAAACATGATTATTTCGCAATTTGTGTACAGACTAGTTTATAAATAAAGTTTACTAAAATAAAACAATCTCAAAAAGGCGTTGCACAATGTTGCGCGCGCGCGCGCGCGCATTTTTCTTCCAAATAAAGTAATAATTTTATTAAATATCGATATCGTAACGACTAAAATAACGCGCGAATGAAGAGCGTCGATAAAGATAGTAATGAAGAAACGTACATACAAAAGAACTGTGTTCAAAATTGATAAACAGATATCGTCGTTGTGGAGCGGTCCTTACGATTCGTGAAACCAAACCGCAAGTGTGGGACCAAATTCCAATGTGGGGAGGAGGGTTGAAATCGTCAATGGGAGGCTTTAAGTGGTTGATGAAGAAAGGAAAGGACGCCTCGAGTCTGGTCGAGTCTGGGCTTGAGCTCGCACCTTTTCATCGCTATTTATCTCTTCTCTAATTATCTTTATCGCGTATAATAAATATATATATTATGTGTATATATATATAATATATATCATTATTTATATATATTCCACGTAATAATTTTCATTTGTTCCTTCAACAGAAGCGCGCGCTCGGCATCGTTCCCCGGCGACGACAACGTCTTCGCCGTATTCGACTCTCGATTTACAAGATTTACCGCGATAGAAGCGTCGAGGACGATGCCGAGGGTGCACTAAAAGACGCGCAACCCGCTCGTTCCTTCGGCGCTCCCCGAGGGCCGCCGAGCGAACGGCGGGGGCGAACGCGTCCCGCAGTCGTTTTTTTTTCTTTTTTTCCATTTTTCTCTTCTTACTTCCCCCCCCCCCTTTTAGAAAAAAAAAGAAAAGCTTTTACCGACTCAATTTTGGAATCCAAGATTCACATGCAAAAGCTACGCAACTACGTAAAATTTTTTTCACCGCGCGCGATTTAATTATTTTACTTTCCCTCAACGGCTCCCGCACGACAGTTAATCGCGATTACATCACTCGTGATCTTGGTTATTTCTGGCCGTTGGCCGTGAGGCTCCGTGTGACTTTTGACCTCACGGCCACGAAAATTGACCGCGGATACGCTGATGGGATCACGCGGCACTACATGATCGAGGATCGACATATGGGGCACGAAAGATCACGCGATCGAAATCGATGAGTAAGACGTGGTGGATCACGTTCGATTACGTGGTCAAGAAAGATATGTGGGGACAGGAGGGACCCCACGTAATCGATACACTCGACACATGTCCCGACTTCATCGATCGACGTGCCGATCACGTGCTATCGTGTGATATTGAGACCGATATATTATATATGAGATTCAATTTTAGAACATTCAAGTTATCCAAATGATGAGTAACTTGGAAACGCGCACCTCGAAACGTCAAAGAGTTCGAAGCAGACTCGAAATATTTCTGTTCTGAGAAATTCTCAATCATATGAGCAACTTTTATTAGCTCGTTCTATCGAGAATGCAAGTTAAATATCGCCGATATCGGCGATGCAAAGCAATTTAAGGCCTCTCATTACAATTTAAGATGCCCCGTAAATATCACCGTTCAAATATAATTTAAAAATGACTATAAAAAAAAATGAAAATATAAATTTAATTCCTATTAAAGATACATCGTTTCATTTTTTCGGCCGTATCACAAGTAAAAGGGAAATTGCGTGTAATTTGCAATCTCTATAAAATTTGGTCGAAAAGTCGAAAGTTGGAGTAATTCGCATTGAGCTCTTCGACTATCGATTTTTTTTTTTTCTGAACAACGATCTCGTGATACCAGCTGCACTTCCGCTGTCGCTTTTCTTCCGGATGAAATAACTAAGTTCGCAAACCGGTCGCGAAAACCGTCGGCGCGACGGTGTATCCGCAATAGAAAAAACGCTAACAATCGGCCTAATATTTATTTAGCATCATCGTTCGTAGTAATATAATTAATAATAATAATTCTCTCGTATTTCTCTCCCGTCTCGCGTCATCATTTTTTTTTTCGTTTAAATATAAAAATGAAAACTAACATATCTTTGGCTTGTTCCCTTTACCAATCGGCAACAGCTCGCGGCTGTGGCGTGCATCATTATTTTTTGTTCTTTTGTTTAAATAACTTTTTGTACAGTTTTGTACACTCAAGTGTGTCTGTGTACGCGCGTGCGTATCTTCATCATTTTTCCATGTACGTTTAACTCTCCTTTCATTGTGTCATATCTATGTGTATGTATGTATATTATATACATATATGTATATATGTATATATGTGTACGCGTTTTTTTTTTTTACGTATATCTGTAGTATTAGAATATGTTCGATTTTAACGTACACGGTTACTTAAAGCGCGCACAAATAGACTCCTTTCTGAATACGTGCGAGTGTCCTACGTGAGTACGTATTATGTGTGTCTCTTTTTCTCTCACTCTCTTTCTCTCCCTCCCTCTCTCTCTCTCTCTCTCTCTCTTGCTCTCTTTCTCTCTGTCTCTTTCTCACTGTCGTGTGTCTTGTTTCTTTTTGCAAGTGTATCGATTTGCAAGCTGAACACAGTGTGTGGCCCAGCCCCATATGCCACTGACAGCTTCGCGCGCTTCCGCGATGCTTCCGCGTCCTTTCGACGACGACAACGACCACGACGGCTCTCCACATTTAGTGGATGGGCGATTTCACAATGTGGTCCGGTGGGATGAAGTGATACGCGGGCATAGGCACCCCCGACGTCTCCATCGATATCCTGAAACACAATCGGTCGCGTCGTGAGAAACAGTAACATTCATTTCTACCGGTCGTGTTCACTCCAACCAGTACGAGATGAGAGTTCCCTGAACGATCTCTACAAGGGCGGAAGCACAGAGTTCTTGTAAAACGCATGAAAACGTAAGAAGATCGATTGATGGCTGCGTTAATCAGAAAAAAAAAAAAAAAAACAGCTTTGCAACTGTTGCAAGATTCTTTAATTATGATTGATTTGTACATTCAAATCTGGCGAGACAAGACCAATCATATTAAAGAATTTTACAACAGTTCCAAAGTTGTTTTCTTTTCTGCTGAACGGAGCCAATGTCTTTTGTTTTATGCAAGGAAGGAAATGAGGGACTTTAATTGGTTTATTCTCTCATGCGTTGTGTAAGACTCGGTGGTCTCTTCTAACAGCTACAAAAAAAATTGGTCCACTTAGTGGACCGCATGTTCGTGAGAATTTCCAATCATCTTCCAGGACTCTCTCTCTCTCTCTCTCTCCTCATACTCGTAAAAGAGAACCGAGATAAAATCCCGACACATTTTCAGCATCGGAGGAAAAGACTAACGAGGCTGACTGGCCGAATCTTTTCGTCCGAATAAAGATGCTGCAGCATGCGACGCGGAAGTAGAACACAACACGAATCTAGTGACTCTCCGTGAGCCGTATTCCGACGTAGTACATGTACAAAGCTCGGCGTAGTATATAAAATCTCTTAATTTGCATGCCCGGTCTACAAATTTTGTACGAACCATCAGCAGAGTGATATCACAGACATTCAACATCTGTGCCGAACCTGCAAAACAAAGCTATTACTACGTCTGCCAAGAAATGCAGAGCAACGTTACCGCGCGCGACTCCGGAGGTCTATAAAAATTTTTATCACGTGATATATACGTACTTTTCTCGAGGATTTCTCGCGAACTCGGAAGGATTCGGATGGTTGGTCGTACATATCTGGTATTAAAAAAAAAAAAAAGATTGCGCAACGATTGAATTGGAAAACAAAAAATGAGAACTGAGAAACGTAGTAAATGAGAACTTTGCAGCCAACAGGATAAATCGATTAACAGGACTACGAAGGAATGGATGGTGCTTACCAAAAACGGGCAGGAGCCTGGGTCAAGTTGGTTGGATGGATACATCTTCTCTTTTTCTATCTCTCTTTCTCTCTCTCTCTCTCTCTCCTTTTATCTATATATATATA